TGGGGAGAACTAGCAATAAAAAAGAAAAATTCCCTTCCTCAAGCTCTAAGCTGTATAGATTGAACTACTCAAATTCACTGTGCTTTCCAGGTCTTGGTGCTATTTTCATGATTTTCTTTGAACATTTACCCCCATCTTCAACTGGCTAAATCTTACTCATGCGTCACGTCTTACTTTTCTGTCATTGCCTATTGACTTGTGTGTCTCTCCTGGACTACAAACTCATTGAGAGCAGGGACTGTGTATTGTTCAATGTCTCAGCCAGGCTTCTTGAGCCCAGTAATTATGTGCTCTCAGTAAGTATTTGTTGAGTAAACAAAGTTCCAATGAGCTTTAAAGCAGGCTGGGTGGGTTTAAGGCTGTGGGAAGGGTGGGTAGGTGGGAGGAGCAGTTAAACAGGAGAGTTACAGAGTTCAAGCTTCAAAGGTAGAGTAGTGGTGACTGAGAGACCAGGGTGGGGCTAACCAAATGGTTGTCGAAGTGAAGTGGAAGTGAAGGTCACTGGGGCAGAGAATACCACAGAACTATGACCCAACATATTAGATGGGTGGCACTTCTGTCACCCGGGAGAAGTCAGGCACAGGGTAGGGTGGAGAAGGAAGCCGTGAGTCATGCTCTAAAGTCCTTTCACAGGTGGTGTGATTGAGGCAGGGAAGTGCCTTCATCCTGGGACCCAGCTTCAGTGGAGGAGAGGGAGGGAAATGAGAGTGATGGAAGATTTACACAGGACCAACTCTAACTCCAGAAAATGATGACCTTGCCTATGACCTTGAGATCTATGGACTCAGCAGGGGAGAATGAGGAGAAGGTTTCAAGATGAGGAGGTGGAGGGATTTCTCAGAAAGAGGTTGTGCTTACAAAGAAATATATTAATAGAATGGGCTTTCCAAAGAGCCCAGTAGAAGGGGAGAGAAAGGTGTCTCCCCAGAGTAAATTCAAGTGGTCAAATGATGGGGTCCTTCAGCTTTGGCTTCAGAATTTGTTCCAGGAATGTCTGCCGTCTTGCTGCTACAATTCTCAACTACAGTGGGCTGGCTTATCCCAGTTAAGAGATTAACCTGAAATCCAATTCTGACCCTACAGCAAAGGAATCAAAACCTTGCATATGGGATTATCCACCCCCATGTGTTCTTTTACTCTGGGGGAAATTGGGTCTTGATTTATTTTTGTGGGATGTCAGCACAATAAAGGCCTCCCTTTGGGACTACAGTGAAAAAGAACTCTCTCATCTTAAAAAAAAAAAAAAGCTGTGGGAGTAAAGTCTTTGCTGAACACAGTTTCAAAATTGGATAAAACTTGTAGTCCGCTCACTCAAAAGGGCCCAGCATCTCCCTTCCGTGGTTACTAAAGAGTCTTTGCTTTTCAGAACCCAGCTTGCTCGGGACTTTTCATCAGCTGATTTCTCTCCAGGCCTAGACAGACATTAGACTGCTCTTAGACAGACATTAGATGGCTCTTCTAACATCTTCTAATATGCTTGAGATAAATTGTCCATGGTGGGATGGAGTTTATTTTTTAAATGCTGCTTTTTTACTTATATTCAAACTTTTTATTTATTTCGGTTTTCCCTATAAATTCACTAGCAAGATTTCTCTAGTTTTCTTTTTTGTGGGTCACATTTACTGAGGTGTTGGTGTCAAGACTATAACAAGAATAAGAATAATCGGCACCCCCCCAACCTCATCTCCAAACTTGTTAGAAATGCAGAATCAGGGGCCCCCGCCCCCAGACCAATGGAATTACTGTCTGCATTTCAACAAGGTCCCCTGGTGATGCACAACCACATTAGAGTTTGAGAAGCTGCCCCAGGCTTTGTCATTCCCTGAAAATTGCTCTTTCCCTAATCTCAGTGTAAGCAGCCTGGCTCTCCAACAAGCGCCCCTTCATCTCAGCTCACTCTGCCTACTGTGCTGGTTCCAACAATCCTTTCACCCATCATAGGACTTTTACAGGGTTTCTCCCCTTTCACTCCCCCCCCCCCATTGCCTCACTGTCTTCTATCTGGCTTGGATTCAACAGCTGGCCATTATTAGTATGACTTCCTTGTATATATACCCTCTCCTTCCTTTGTCCTTTCCCTCTCCATGGAGTTACCTAACAAAAATAGCCCTGGTTGAATCCAGCCCCCCACCTTCCTGGGCCTGCACCTTCCCAGCAAAATGTCCCCGGTAAAAATCACAGAACCCTGCTGACTGGTCCTTCTTTACACCTTCTCCTCTTCCCTCGAACTTCCAACAGCTCCTCCCCCTCCACACTCAGCCGATGACTTTGCTTTCCGTTTCCCTGAGAAAATAGAAACCCTCAGAAGGGAACAGACACCTGTTCCAGCACCTCGTCCACCCGGCTCCCTGCCACTGAGCCCACCTCTGCCTGCCCTCTGTCCATGAGTGAAGGCCGCCTTGCTGGTATCGAGGCCAAACCCTCCACTGTTGGCTGCAACCTTCTCTTCTTGCTCACTCAAGGACAGCTCTCCAGAAAATGCAGCCCCTCCCATCAAATTTTCCCTCACTCCTGAATCACGCCCATCCGCACTTAAGCCAGCTGCAATAGCTTCCTTCCATCCTAAAAGCAAAAGCCAAAAGAAGAAATAAAACAAAAAAATCTGTTTGACCCCATATTCTCCTCCACCTACCACCCGATCTCTTCCCTCCCTTTTAGAAGGAAACTTCATGGAAAAGTTGTTTACACTCATGGTCCCCCTTTCTAGAGACATTCCTGGTTCTCATTCTTCCTAGAGACCACTCCAGTCAGGCTTTTCCACCCACCCCTGCTGAAACAGCTCTGACCAAGGCCACTAGTTACCTCTGTGATGTTGACATTAATGACCAATCACCAACACCAACCTTACTTCAACTGCTAGTCAAAATCAGTGGCACTGATCCATCCTCCACCCCTCGGTCCTCCAGCACATAGAGCTCCCTGGGCCTCCTGCTGCCAACCGGGCTCCTCTCCTCAGAATCCTTTGCCGGTTCCTTGTCATCTCCCTGACCTCTCAGTGTTGGGGCCTCAGGCTCATCCTTGGCTTTGCCCCTTTTTAACACTCACTCCTTAAATGATCTCATTGAGTCTTGAGATTTTATTTACTCTGAGGACTCCCCAAATTCTCTCTCCAGCCCGGACCTCTCCACCATGCCCCAGACTTCTATATACAGCTTCCTACTTGGGTGTCTAACAGGTAGTTCAAAGTTAATATGCCCCCAAATGTATTCCGGAGTTCCTCCCTTCACATCTGCTTCTAAGTCTTCCCCATTTCACCAAATTGTATCTTGCTTGAGAAAAACAAACAAAAAACCTTAGATTCAGCAAAATCCTGTCAGCTCTACCTTTTAAAAGTGTCTAGAACTCAACCACTTCCTTACCCCTCCAGGCTACCACCCTGGACTTGTCTTCTGTTCAATGGATTATTTCAAAAGCTTTCTAACGGGTCTGCTGGCTGACACCCTCACAACCTTCAGGCTGGTCTTCACACAACCAGAGTGATCCTTTTGAAATGTCAGACCACATCCTTTCTCTGCTCAAAACTCTTCAAATAGCCTCTCATCTATTCAGAGAAAAAAACCCAAGTCCTCATCTCAGTCTGTATGGTTTCCACCCTCTGCTGTCTCTGCCCTGTTGCCTCCCTCAGGAGTCGGGCTTGCTGGGCTGCTGGGCTCCTGGGCTCCCAGCTCCCAGCTCCCATCGGTGGTCCTTGCTGTTCCCTCTGCCACCCCATGCACATAGTTTACCGCATGCTCTTCGTGTAGCTGTTCCCTGTAGGAGAGCTATAAATAGTCATGCCCGGCACTCTATCCCCTCCTTAGCCTGCGTTGTTTTTCTCCGTAGCACTGAAAACCATCCAAGGTCATGCATGTGTTGGTTCATTTGTTTATTGTTTGTCTCAGGAGCATGGAATGTTTTGTTCACTGCTCTACCCCTTAGAATAGTGCCTGACACACAGTAGATGCTCAAAAATACCTGTTCAATTACAAATTAAAAACAAACAAAGCAACAGAAACAAACAAACAAAAAAACATGGGTGGTATTTTTATGTACCAGATTCTGCTGTCTGGGCTTTGGAATGCATTTCCTTGCTCATCCTCATAAGCCTATGGTCCTGTAGTGTGTGTGTGTGTGTGTGTGTGTGTGTGTGTGTGTGTGTGTGTGTG